AACCTAGGCCGCAGCCTCATTTCCTTCATTTTCTAGCGAAAGCTTCAGAAAAGTGGATTGTGTCCGGATCCGGTTTTTTGTTGACGCTCGTTTTCCCTTGCAAAAAACACTATAAAATGAAAATTCTTGTTCTTACTTGATCAAATTGCAAGAATCCCTTGCAAAAAATAAGGTAAAGTGGACATTCGTGCGCGCAAGACGAAATCCTTCCAAAACCTTAGGTTTCGTAACGATTTTAACATAAAAACATCAAAAACCCAATGGTTTTTTAAGAAAAAATTGTCAAAATGTCCTTCCGCGCGCGCTGTCCGAATCCCACAAAACCAATGGTTTTTCAACATTTATGTTACATGAGCTCGCGCGAGCTACTTTTTCTTGTTCTAACATAATCAAATTTCAATAATCCCTTGCAAAAAATAAGGTAAAGTGGACATTCGCGCGCGCAAGACGAAATCCTTCCAGAACCTTAGGTTTCGTAACGATTTCAACATAAAAACATCAAAAACCCAATGGTTTTTCAAAAAAAATGTCAAAATTTCATCCCGCGCGCGCTGTCCGACTCCCACAAAACCAATGGTTTTTCAACATTTATGTTACATGAGCTCGCGCGAGCTACTTTTTCTTGTTCTAACATAATCAAATTTCAATAATCCCTTGCAAAAAAAATGTAAAGTGGACATTCGCGCGCGCAAGACCAACAAAAAACACGACGATCTCAGGAACTTGCCCCAAAAATGTGACCAACTCCGCTCTCTCTGTCTCTCTCTCTGTCTGCTCTCTGTCTCTCTCTCTGTCTGTCTGTGTCATGTATTGTATGTCACAATTGCAGGATGCTGGGCACACGCGCGCCCCGAATAAGTGACCAAGTTCTGTGGGTGTGTACCCCACGCCAGTGTAGTAGCCACGGTCGTCCGCACGCCACGAAGTGAAGTGTCCCAACGTCATAGGGCGGGAAGCTGGGTTTGGGTGGTCGCGAAGAGTCGTTTGGATATTTGGTAGAGCTTGAACTGCCCCCCCACGAAGTGGGGGTATTGTCTCGCGTCGCATGAAAACCCTGGCACTGGTGAGAACACTGAGCGTTCGGTAAATGATTGTTGTTGTTGTTGTTGCTGCTGCTGCTGCTGCTGTTGTTGTTGTTGTTGAGTTGCTGTTGCTGTTGCTGTTGCTGTTGCTGTTGCTGTTGCTGTTGCTGTTGTTGTTGTTGTTGTTGCTGCTGCTGCTGCTGTTGCTGTTGTTGTTGTTGTTGTTGCTGTTGCTGTTGCTGTTGCTGTTGCTGTTGCTGTTGCTGTTGCTGTTGCTGTTGTTGTTGTTGTTGTTGGTGTTGGTGTTGGTGTTGGTGTTGGTGTTGTTGTTGTTGTTGTTGTTGCTGTTGCTGTTGTTGTTGTTGTTGTTGTTGCTGTTGCTGTTGCTGTTGCTGTTGCTGTTGTTGCTGATGTTGTTGTTGTTGATGCTGCTGTTGTTGTTGATGCTGGTGTTGTTGTTGTCGTTGTCGTTGTCGTTGTCGTTGTAGTTGTTGTTGTTATTGTTGTTGTCGTCGTTGTGGTTGTTGTCGTTGTTGTTATTGTTGTTGCTGTTGTTGTTGTTGCTGTTGTTGTTGTCGTTGTCGTTGTCGTTGTTGTTGTTGCTGCTGCTGTTGTTGTTGTTGTTGTTGTGGTTGTTGTCGTTGTTGTTGTTGTTGTGGTTGATGTTGCTATTGTTGATATTTAGGGGGTCTGCTTTGGACTCTCTTTCATTCTCCCTCCCAAAACCCGCCCGTAGGAGGACACGCCCGACCTCACTCGAGCTCCCGCCCTCCGTCCCAGACTCCGGGCAGAAACGGTTCATTTTGCTTGATGTGTTTCAACAGAAGACACAATAGAGCGTGGTTTTAGGATGGGTTACGATAATGTTTCAAAAACATAACAAATCACCCAGGAATCACCCGCAAAAATTAGGTGGAGTGTCCAACCCCAGCGTCTCGAGGTGCTGGTTCCGGGCCTCGGGGGAGATCGTGCTCGGGCCCTGTCAGGCGGGCGCTCCCTCTGTGAAAACTGCCCCACGAGGGAGGAGTGCGCTAGGGGGCCACGTGCGAACCCTACCCCTACCCCCCACGATTTCTGAGTGGGCGGGTGGGGTTCACTTCGTTCGAGAGCTCTCGAGCGAAGTGAACCCCACCCTCCCCCTCAGAAATCGTGGGGGGTAGGGGTAGGGTTCGCATGTGGCTCCCTAGCGCGGGGCCCGTGGGGCCCACGGATTTCGCTTGAGGTCGGGCGTGTCCTCTACAGGCGGATTTTGTAGGAAGCATGGAAAATGACCCAAGAATCTGCAAACAGATTTAAAAATGGTAGGAACCTCGTCCCGATATGTTTTTTTTGAGTATTTTTGAAGATTCCTCCTGTAGAGGGACACGCCCGACTTGAAGTTAACTGGAGTAATCCGTCGGAGGTCTGGGTTGCCCCCTTGGGCTCCAGTCGACGACGTCCAGGCAGACCAGAGGCTGCAGCGCACCGCGTCTCGTCAGTCAGCCAGGCCGTCTGCAGTGCACGCAATTCAGATTTTCCACGAGTCTCTCCACTCCTGCTCCTTGTCCCCATTGGTCATCTTCTTCCTCCTCTCAGTCCTCCTTTTTGCATGAGTGGAGAGCGATTGGTTGGCTGGGTCTGCACGCCGTACGCGCTGTGATCCAAGAACCCCCGTGCCATAAGCAGCAGCAGTCAAATTCGGACAGCTCCTGCTGCTAAGCCTAAGCAATGCCTCCAAAGACGCAGCTGCCCCCAGTCGCGGCTGGCGGCAGTTCCAGAGATGGCATGGCCTTGCCCCACCCTCCGGGAGGCGATGGGGAAAGGAGACAGGGTTTGGATTATGCTTTGCCGAACAGCCAGTCTACCTGCCCGCGGCTGGCGGCAGTTCCAGAGATGGCATGGCCTTGCCCCACCCTCCGGGAGGCGATGGGGAAAGGAGACAGGGTTTGGATTATGCTTTGCCAAACTGCCAGTCTACCAGCCATCGGTGCTGACGACCCTTAGCTGGGAGCTTCGACTCCTATTGTAGCTTGCAAATTCCGGACCCGCTGGGCTCATACTTCAGCTCTAGAAGAAGGAGAAGAAGAAGAAGAAGAAGAAGAATAATAAGAAGAAGGAGGAACGCCGATTTGGGATGAGGAAGATGGGGAAGGGAGGATATAGTCGCATTCGAATCCCCAAAGATCTCGCACCTGGCGGGCCACTGGTTCGCCCCTTCGTTCGGGCCTGCTAGCAAAAACAAGGGGCGAATGCTTTAACATGTTTGGCATGCCATTGAATAGTATCCCAGTCTTCGGTTGTGTCCCCGTGCTTCTGTCGTTCCCCATCCCCCCCCCCTTCATAGCACACCCCTGCCCTGACCACTCTGTCCAGGCACGACAAGCGCAAGACTGACGCTGTGCAAGGAAGACGGTCGGAAGTAGGAGGAGGACGGTAAGGGAGGGTATGATCTTGTATTCATTTGCGCAGAACGCGGCTGCTAGGAGTAGGTCTTGGCAAACTACTTACTTGGGAAGCTTCGCCCTTCGCTGCAAACCTGCAGCGTTGAAGCAAATGTAGAGCACTTCCTCCCGACACGGTCCTTACACTGACCCACCCTTGTCCCGACCACCCCTTCCAGACACGACCAGCGGTCGACTAGCGCTGAAGCTGAGGCTCACTGGATCGCGCCGCCGCTCCATGAACATATGTTTGATCGCCTTCGGCATGCAGAACCAACCTGCTTGCCCAGCTCTTGCGTCCTCTTTGGGCCTCCTGGAGGCTTCTCGCCGCCACCGCTGGAACCGCCTCGAAGAACAGACGTCTGAGCTTTTCTGCCACTGAGGAGCAGGAGGAGGAGGAGGAGGAGGAGGAGGAGGAGGAGGAGGAGGGGAGGAGGAGGAGGAGGACGAGGGGGGGAGGGAGGGGAGCAGGAGGAGGAGGAGGAAGAGGAGGAGGAGGAGGGGGAGCAGGGAGGAGGAGGAGGAGGGAGGAGGGAGGAGGAGGAGGAGGAGGAGGAGGAGGAGGGAGGAGGAGGAGGAGGAGGAGGAGGAGGAGGAGGGGGAGGAGGAGGAGGAGGAGGAGATGGAGGAGGAGGAGAGCGCGGGAGCGCGCGAAAGTAGCCGTGCTTTGCGCGTCGCGGCCTCGGGCCAGAGCAGCTGCCCCTCCACAAGGGCGGGGGGCGGCGCGAGGGCGCGAGGAGGACCGCGCTTCGGGCCTCGCGGGGCGCGATAGGGGGCGAGGTCAGGAGGAGGAGGAGGAGGAGAAGAAGAGGATGGGGGAGGGGGAGGGGAGGGGGAGGGGGATGGAGGAGGAGGAGGAGGAGGAGGGAGGAGGGGAGGAGGAGGAGGAGGAGGAGGAGGAGGAGGTAGGAGGAGAGGGAGGAGGAGGAGGAGGAGGACGAGGGGAGAGGGAGGAGGATGAGGAGGAGGAGGAGGAGGGGGGCAGGGCGGGGGCAGGAGGCTTCCAGCGGAGGGAGAGCGCTGGGCGCAGCTCTCCTCTGGCCGTGGTCGTGGGCCACGGGTCGGCGCCATTCCAACATGCTCATGCTATGTGTGCGTCGCCCCCCCAGGGGCGACGCGCGCACCGAGAAATCTTGTATGTGTGTGTGTGTGTGTGTGTGTGTGTGTGTCCTGGCGGGCGCTTTCTGGCCACACCGCTCGGGAAACGATCTACTACCAGATGGGTGTACTACATGTTCGGGTCGGACAGGCGACTCCAAGGAGGACGTATAGTATCAGTATTAAGTCGGGCCTGCCCGTCCACACGGCAATTATTCAAAGGTAGTCCAAAAATAGTCTCGGAGCGATGTTTTGAGTATTTTTTGACTATTCTGGGATACGTTTTGAGTGTTCTTAAGTTTTCGCCCAAAATCCCTCTGCAGGAGGACATGCCCGACCGAATATTCGTAAGTCTCTGTGCCTCCCAGGGGGGGTCGTTTCTTGCGCGTGCGGGTCCGCTCGCCCCGCCTCTGCGAGGGGGACTCTCCTCGGGCCCCTCGCCCCCCGCCCCCGCCTCGAGGCGAGGCGCCTGCGCGGTGCTGGTGCCGCTGCCGCTCCCGGCTTCTGGGGAAGGCCTTCGGCGAGGACTTGGCGCACCCTTCGCCCCGCGGCTGCTGCCAGGGAGGCCGAGCTGGGAAGTGAGAGTCGAGGGAGGAAAAGGTACTCATACCTCTACTCCGGGTTTCTTAATAAGCGCGGGGGGGTACCCCCCCGACGGGGGTCAACCTCGCCTCGTCGTCGCGCCGCGACGAGGGTCGGAGCGCCTTCGGCGCGCGGTGGCTGCCCGCGACGGGGGTCGATGTGGGGCTGTCGGCGGGGGCGACGCCCCCCCGACGCTTCTTTTAAGAAACTCGGAGTACCCTTCGCCCGTTTTCCCCTCTTTGGGCCTTCTGGGAGGCCCTCGTCGCCACTGCCGGGTTCGCCTCGAAATCCTGGTCAGAACGCCTTCCGGGAGAGGTCCGGGGAGTAGCGCTATCGGTACCTGTTGGTTTCCCCAGAGAGGGCCGTACACCTGCCAGAGCAGCCAAGATTTTGTCAAGCAGTGGCGAAGCGTCCTGGCTCCCCTGTAGGCCCACCAGAGAATGTGCTAACAACCTTTTGTGGTCTGCACGAAAGGTTCTTAGACAATTTCTGGCTGAGTCCGCCTTGTTTTCAAACGTCGAGCTTATGTTCTAAGAACATGGGTGTTTGTTTTTCGAGCATTTTGGGGTTCTAAGAACATGTCGTGGTTGGCCTACAGGAATGCCTTGACGGTCGGGCCCTGCTCAATTTTGACCTGACCCGAGGGTCCGCGTTGCGCGCCCCCCCCCCCCCCCTCCATGTATACCCCTCAGCTTCCTTCAGCGTCGCAGTCCGCGCCACCTGGCTCCACCTGAGGGGGTCGCAGAGGCGCCGCTTCCGCTGGCCTCGATGCCCCTTGGAAGGGCCTCGGGCGCCTCGCCGCTGAGCGGCTCGGGCGTGTGAGCCGTCCCAGTGGCCTAGAACGCCTCCGCCTCGGTGGCAGTGTCTGGCAACTGCCTGGCCCGCCCGCTCATCGCCTTGGCATTCGCCTGGGCAGCCGCTACCCCGGTGGCATGCGCTGCCTCAGCTGTTGCCTCTGCGGGACTCTACGGCTGGCGCACCTGCGGCCCCACCGCACCGGCAGGCCGCAGCTGCAACGGTTCGACCGCGCGCCTTGCTGTTCAACGATCATTGAATAGCGCAGCCTCCGTGCCATGTTTTATCGCCCAGCGAGCGGTGGGCCCAGTGCTCGCCATCGGCCTCGGCGATGCGCTCGGCGTTCGCTTGGCGTTGTGCAGCCACCTCGCTAGCTGACTCTGCCATCGCACTGGTGGCCTGGTTGTCTGCTTCCGTTGCCTCCGCGGCATGCTCTGTCTCAGCTGCCTCTGTGGCATTCTCTGCAGCAGCCTCCGCCTCTGTCCCCTCCGCGACCTCGGTCTCGGTGGAGTTCGCTGCCTCCGCACCTGCCTGTGCGGCGCGCTCCCACCAGCCATTCCCACCTCGGGGGGTATTTCCCTGCCTCAGCCGTCGTCTCCTGGATCGGCGGCATCCCCCTGGGCAGCCTTGGCCAGAGAGGTCTGGGCGCCGCGCTCGGCCGCCGTGGTGGCGTGCTTGTCGGCGGCACCGGCGACGTGCAAACTCCCACCCGTCAGGCCGTGGCTTGGCCCGCTGGTGCTTGGAGGTGGCGCGAGCAACCGCTCACGCTCCACACTTCTCCAGCCGAATCGCCCTCCTCCTCGCCGAACGACTCCGCGGCCTGCATGCCCTCGCCGTGCCCCTCTGTCGGGATCCCCGTCTCGGTCTCCTGCTGCACCTGTTGCGTCGCCACACCTCCATGCCTGCAGTGGAGGCCATATGCCAAGACACACCTTGCTTGCCTCCAGGGCGCCCTGGGTTTCTTGGGTTTCAATGGCTCTGCTACGGGAAGCGCGACGTTCCCACGCCAAAAAACAGTGGACGTCCTGGGGTCTCAGGGTTGGGTTTCTTGTGAAAGGTTTCTTGTGGTCGGGCCTCCACTGTACGCTTAGGTCGGGCGTGCGTGTCCCTCTACAGGAAGAGCAAGTATTTTAAAATAGTAAAAAATAGTCGGGGACGATTGCTTGAATATTGTTGGTTGTTTGTTGAGTATATTGTTTTGGCTATTTTTGATGTTTCGTCCAAAGCCCGCATGTCGGGGGACACGCCCGACCTGACTGTACGCGGCGCAGCCGCCCCAGCGCAGCGACCAGCGCACCCACGTGGCCGTGCCGCGACCTCGTACTCGCCCGGGAGCCTGTTCGAAGGCATGGGTCATCGGAGCACCTGAGTGCATGTATTGCTCTCCCCCGGGCTATTCGCCCCTGTCGTCGCCTCTGAGTCCACCGCGGGGGGCGGGGGAAGCGCATCGGCCCCTGATCACCGATCCCAGAGATCTGGCGGTCCCACAAGAACAACTGCACGCGGCGCAGCCGCCCCAGCGCAGCGACCAGCGCACCCGCGTGGCCGTGCCGCGGCCTCCCTGCCGACGCGCTCCGCGCCCCTTGGGCTCTGCGCCCCGCCTCCGCGCGGCGCGCGGCGCGCGGGGGCCACGGCGCGCTCCGCGCCGCCGGCCCCGCCCCGCCGGCCCCGGAGCGCCCAGGCTGCCGACGCCCCGCGCTCAGGGGTCCTCCTCCCTCCTCCTCTCCTCCTCCTCCTCCTCCTCCTCCTCCTCCTCCTACTCCTCCTCCTCCTCCTCCTCTCCTCCTCCCTCCTCCCTCCTCCTCCTCCTCCTCCTCCTCCTCCTCCTCCTCCTCCTCCTCTCCTCCTCCTCCCCTCCCCCTCCCCCTCCCCCTCCCCCTTTCTCCTTCCTCCTCCTCCTCCTCCTCCTCCTCCCTCCTCCTCCTCCTCCTCCTCCTCCTCTTCCTCCCCCTCCCCCCCTCCTCCTCATCCTCCTCCTCCTCCTCCTCCTCCTCCTCCTCCTCTCCCTCCTCTTCTGCCTCCACCTCATCCCCCCCTCCAACTTATTTCTGGTGGTGGTGATGGACAGCAGGCCCATCGCGTCCCATCCTCGGGTCTGCCGTTGCAGCAGGCGGCTACGCCGCGACGAAGCGCAAGAAAGGAGAGGAGCCCTGTTGTAAATGACATAGCTTTCGGTGTTCCTTTTTCTGGCGGGGTCGATCTGGGAGGGCACCAGTGCCCGACATGGAGCGAAACCGCCCGGCTCGAACAGATCGGAGTCGCTGGGACCTCATGGGGAGGACGTCGACGACATGTGAGAGTGTCGGAGGCTGGTAGACCTCCTACCCTGACACGTCGATCAAGGAATTGGCCGTTTTCGCTTCGCGAGAGGGCGTCGCGGCCGTCATTTTTGCGGGTTCAGGGCCGTCGGTTTCGGTCCTAGGCCGTTTTCACTAAGGGGAGGTTTTCTAAAGGGAGGTTTGTCAGGAGGGAAAGAAACACACAGACTCAATTAATCGTCGACTCTCAGGAAAATATAGGAAAATATGGGAAGTGGGGGGGAAGACAAAAACACGGAAAATATAGGAAAATATGGGGAATCCTTTTAATTGTGTGTATTTATTTGTGTGTCCTGGGGCCTCTTCAGAGAACGCTGCGCGATAGCAGCGGTGTGCGCTCGCGTCTCTGGGTGCTCCCCCCGCGGCTCCCCTCAGGAGCCGCGCAACCCACAGGCCACTCCTGCCCAGGGGTCTCGGGGGAGGAGCCCAGCCTTACGTCGGGCCTGCCCCTCTACAGAAGGAGTATATGCAAAAATAGTGAAACATAGTATGGGGACGATGTCTTTCGCATTGTTTGTTAATTGTTTTGAGCATTTTTTGACAATTTTCTTAGATCGTTCTTCCCAAATCCGCCTGTAGGGGGACACGCCCGCCCTAAACCCAGCCCCCCGACGTCAGGATTCTTCCATGACGTACCCCATGGAGGCCTCGAGACCCATTCCCCCCTGGACCGCCTTTTCATCCTGCGAGTCGTTTTTTTTCTGAAGGCCCCGAGGCCCGGCGAGGGCCCCCAGAGGCCGAAAGCGGCACAAGACATCTGCCGTCGCGAGTTCTTCGTTGCCCGAGGGGGGTCCCGGGAGGCCGAACACGACAAAAAACATCTCCCGTCACGATCTCTTCGTTGCCCGAGGAGGGTCCGGCGAGGCCGAAAGCGGCAACAGAGCACCTCCCGTCACGATCTCTTCTTTGCCCGAGGAGGGTCGTGGGGAGGCCGAAAACTGTAAAAAAGCACCTCCCGTCGCGATTTCATCCTTGCCCGGGAGGAGGAGGAGGAGGAGGAGGAGGAGGAGGAGGAGGAGGAGGAGGAGGAGGAGGAGGGAGGAGAGGAGGAGGGAGGAGGAGGAGGAGGAGGAGGAGGAGGGGGGAGGAGGCGGAGGCGGAGGAGAGGATAGGAGGAGGAGGAGAGGAGGAGGAGATGGAGGAGGAGGAGGAGGAGGAGGAGGAGGAGGAGGAGGAGGAGGAGGAGGAGGAGGAGGAGGAGGAGGAGGAGGAGGAGGAGGAGGAGGAGGAGGAGGAGGAGGAGGAGGAGGAGGAGGGGCAGTAGGAGGAGGAGGGGGAGGCAGCTACCGCGCCAGCACCCGAGGGCAGACCCGGCGGCGCCCGCGCCGCGTGCCGCCTGCGCGGCGGCTGGGCCCGCTCGCGGCGCCCTCTGCGCGCCGGTGCCGCGGCCGGAGCCCCGCCGCCGCTGGGGGCGTCCTATTGGCTGCAGCGTCCAGTCGGGCCTGGCCCTCTGCAGGAGGAGTAGTTAAACATAGTCAAGGAATAGTCTGGGGGCGCCTTTTCGTTTTGTTGTTGTTGTTGAACATTATTAATTCTAAAGAATAATTATTGTTGGGACCCCTGGTGCACGGCCCCCCTGCGCCGCCTAGGCCGCAGCTACATTTTCATCATTTTCGTGAGGAAGCCTCAGGTAATTCGATGTGATCAAGATCCGGTTGTTTTGTTCCCCCCCGCTTTCCCTTGCAAAAAACACTATAAAATGACATTTCTTGTTCTAATATAATCAAATTTCAAGAATCCCTTGCAAAAAATAAGGTAAAGTGGACATTCGCGCGCGCAAGACGAAATCCTTCCAAAAGCTTAGTGTTCGGAGCGATTTTAACATAAAAACATCAAAAAACCAATGGTTTTTCAACAAAAAAATGTCAAAATCTCATCCCGCGCGCTCTTGCGGATTCGTAGGAAACCCAACACTTTTTTAAACATTTCTGTCAAACGGGCTTTTGCGAGCAACTTTTTCGAACTTCTGCGACAACGGTTGCGCACCTGCCAGGGCCATCATCCCTGTCAAATAATACCATGCGGGACACATTCGTTTTTTCTTCGCGCGCGCACGCCGAAATCTCCAAAAACCATTGGGCTTCTTAAGAATTTTAGCACCGCGCATCATAAAATCACACGAATCGCACCGTAGGTCCTCGAAAAACACCTGCACGACTTTTCAAAATTTCTACCCGCGCGCGCTGTCCTAACAACTTCTGTGGGTGTGTACTCCACGCCAGTGTAGTAGCCACGGTCGTCCGCAGGCCACGAAGTGAAGTGTCCGAACGTCATAGGGCGGGAAGCTGGGTGTGGGTGGTGGCGAAGAGTCGTGTGGATATTTGGTAGAGCTTGCACTGCCCCCCCACAAAGTGGGGGTATTGGCTGGCGTCGCATGAAAACCCTGGCACTGGTGAGAACACTGAGCGTTCGGGTAAAGTGATTGTTGTTGTTGTTGTTGTTGTTGTTGTTGTTGTTGTTGTTGTTGTTGTTGTTGAATTCTCATTTCTGAAGAACAATTATTGTTGATCCCCCACTGGTGCATACTGTTTTTTCTCGATCAAAGTGTGCCCCTAGACGCTCGCACCCTGTTTTTTGACAGGGGAAGTCTTCCTGCTCAAACTGGGCCCCTGGCCGACGGGTTACATCAACAACGGTTCCCGCCTGATACGTCCTTACAATTTAGGCAGGACCCCCGCTCCCGCCCGAGATTTCCTCGCATTTTATTCAGGAATCGCGCTCTCGCTTAGGACTTCCTTACAATTTATTCAGAAATCGCTCTCCCGGAGCTCTGGAGTCGCGCTCTCGCCGGAGACTTGCTTGCAACTTACTGAAGAATAGCCTTGCGTTGGAATTTCCTGCAATTTGGCCAGGCGCCGCGCTCCCGACACCCAGGCACCCAGGAATCGCGCCCGTTGTGGCCCCATGTGCATGCCCTTCGTGGCCCCGCTGTCGCCATTTGTGTCCCCCTCATTGTCCTACGTGGCCCAGTTGCTACCCTCAGTAGCCCCATAGTTGCCTTCTTTGGCCCCGCATTATCTGCACTTCGTGGCCCCCGCTCGTTCGCACTCTTCGTGGCCCCATACGCATTCCCTTCGTGTCCCCGCTGTCGCCCTTCGTGGCCTACTTCGTGCCCTTCGTGGCCCTGCTGTCGTTCTCTCTCGCTCTCGCTTTCGCTCGTCGTCGCCGTCGTTGCCGTCGTCTTCGACGTCGTCGTCGTCGTCGTCGTCGTCGTCATGGTCGGTCCCCTGTCCGTCCCTCTTGGGGTCGGGTCGACGGTCCGCGGCCGCCGCCCCGCCGATCCGCGCTGCCGCTGGCCAGGCCGACAGTCCGCGGCCGCCCCGCCGCTTGCCGGGGCCCGGCCTGCAGGGAAGAAAGGTATACGGGAATCAAGAGGGCGGGTATCGAGGGTTTGGGAAATACGCGTTATTGGACACTCGAGCATATAAGGGCGAACAGTCTTAAAATGATTGTTGTTGTTGTTGTTGAACATTATTTATTCTAAAGAATAATTATTGTTGGGCCCCCTGGTGCGCGCCCCCCCTGCGCCGCCTAGGCCGCAGCTACATTTTCATCATTTTCGTGAGGAAGCCTCAGAAAAGAGGGTGTGTACAGGATCCGGTTGTTTTGTTGTAATCCGCTTTCCCTTGCAAAAAACAATAGAAAATGACATTTCTTGTTCTAATATAATCAAATTTCAAGAATCCCTTGCAAAAAATAAGGTAAAGTGGACATTCGCGCGCGCAAGACGAAATCCTTCCAAAACCTTAGTGTTCGCAGCGATTTTAACATAAAAACATCAAAAAACCAATGGTTTTTCAACAAAAAATTGTCAAAATCTCATCCCGCGCGCTCTTGCGGATTCGTAGGAAACCCAACACTTTTTAAACATTTCTGTCAAACGGGCTTTTGCGAGCAACTTTTTCGAACTTCTGCGACAACGGTTGCGCACCTGCCAGGGCCATCATCCCTGTCAAATAATACCATGCGGGACACATTCGTTTTTTCTTCGCGCGCGCACGCCGAAATCTCCAAAAACCATTGGGCTTCTTAAGAATTTTAGCACCGCGCATCATAAAATCACACGAATCGCACCGTAGGTCCTCGAAAAACACCTGCACGACTTTTCAAAATTTCTGTGGGTGTACGAACGTAGGCTTAACAACTTCTGTGGGTGTGTACTCCACGCCAGTGCAGTAGCCACGGTCGTCCGCAGGCCACGAAGTGAAGTGTCCGAACGTCATAGGGCGGGAAGCTGGGTGTGGGTGGTGGCGAAGAGTCGTGTGGATATTTGGTAGAGCTTGCACTGCCCCCCCACAAAGTGGGGGTATTGGCTGGCGTCGCATGAAAACCCTGGCACTGGTGAGAACACTGAGCGTTCGGGTAAAGTGATTGTTGTTGTTGAACATTATTAATTCTAAAGAATAATTATTGTTGGGGCCCCTGGTGCACGGCCCCCCTGCGCCGCCTAGGCCGCAGCTACATTTTCATCATTTTCGTGAGGAAGCCTCAGGTAATTCGATGTGATCAAGATCCGGTTGTTTTGTTCCCCCCCGCTTTCCCTTGCAAAAAACACTATAAAATGACATTTCTTGTTCTAATATAATCAAATTTCAAGAATCCCTTGCAAAAAATAAGGTAAAGTGGACATTCGCGCGCGCAAGACGAAATCCTTCCAAAAGCTTAGTGTTCGGAGCGATTTTAACATAAAAACATCAAAAAACCAATGGTTTTTCAACAAAAAAATGTCAAAATCTCATCCCGCGCGCTCTTGCGGATTCGTAGGAAACCCAACACTTTTTAAACATTTCTGTCAAACGGGCTTTTGCGAGCAACTTTTTCGAACTTCTGCGACAACGGTTGCGCACCTGCCAGGGCCATCATCCCTGTCAAATAATACCATGCGGGACACATTCGTTTTTTCTTCGCGCGCGCACGCCGTCGTCGTCGGCCGCGGGGCCCTGAATAGTAGCCACGGTCGTCCGCATGCCACGAAGTGAAGTGTCCGAACGTCATAGGGCGGGAAGCTGGGTGTGGGTGGTGGCGAAGAGTCGTTTGGAAATTTGGTAGAGCTTGAACCGGCCCCCCCACAAAGTGGGGGTATTGCCCGCCTCCTATGAAAACCCTGGCACTGGTGAGAACGGAGTGTCCCCAGTCTTAAATGATTGTTGTTGTTGTTGTTGTTGTTGTTGTTGTTTTCCCCCCCCCTCTCTCTATTTTCCGGCCCCAGGGCCCTCGGAGATCGATCCGGCTGGGGACTGGGGGTCCAGGAGTGAGTTTGGCGGCGTTGTTTTTTTTTCGCTACGTCGGATCTCAGGGGCATGCACGGCGCTGCCGATGTCAGTGCTTCCATCATGCTGGCCTTCTCCCGCTCTCCGTGCAGAGCGAGACACCATTTTGACATCCAGCCGCGCGCGTTCCGGCCCGCGCCCGCGAGTGGAGCACCTGCTGCCGTGGCCCGGGTGCGGCCCCAGTTACTGCGCTTTTACTCTCGGGGAGCGTGCAGCGCTCGGGCCGAACAAAAGGGGGAGACAGGGAAAGGGGGGGTTACGAAATCTGCTGCGTGCAGCTGGTTTTGGTTCCGCCGCCAGGCCCGTTCCTCGATACATGGGCGCCTCCCAGCGCTGGGAGGCGCAAGGAAAATCAGCTCCGTGAGCTGATTCTCAAACCCCCCCTTTGCTATCCCCCACTTTCGCCCGGCTCGAAGCGCGTCGGCCCGTGCCTCGGGCGGCGGGACCATGATGCCTGGCATGCGCCGCTGCGGGCTTGCAGCTGTTGTGCCTGTCTCGGCACCATGGCCGGATGAGCACACGGGGCGTTCCAAGATGTCATCTCTTCCTCGGCGGAATGCGGCGGAAGGGCGGCGGAAGCAAAACGAGGCCGCCTCAGCCGGCGGAAGCTCTGCGGAAGGCGGCGGGAGATGAACACGTTTTTGAGTTCAGGGTTTCCGAAATCGCCCACCTGTAGTCATTCATCGGCGTGAGGGTCGAACCCGCCAGGGGAGCAAGGGTACAGGCAGCGTGAGCCAGAGTGCTGCTCGAGCTAACGAGAAAAAACATTGCTGCGCGCGAGTGTTGCTATATTCCAGCCCTGACCAGGCCCACCCGTCGAGGATCGTTCCATTCCGGCCGGTTTCGGCCAAGACCGTCCTGAGCCCAGCCCGACGCTGGCCACGACAATCCTAAGCCCAGGATGGGCGCACTCGCCTTCCTAGCTTGCCTGGGGAGTCATGCAGGGCGGGGTGGTGTCGTAACGACCTCGGCGCTGGTTTCTTGCATCGCGTGGATCGTTCCATCTTGAGCGATCGCAGCTTTCCGATCGCGCAGGATCGTTCCAAGACTGACCGATGCCGGGCCACTGAGTCGTCGTTCCGACTGGAACGCCTGCGCCAGAGTCGCCGTCGCGTCGACCTAGCACGACCCCTGCCGTGCGCCGATCCGCCGCAGCCCCCTGGTGGCACGATCGAGCGAGCGCTGGAGCACCGCTGGCGGCGCCTTCGGCGCCTCCGGTGTACGGCAGGTGTCGTGCCGGGTCGACGCGACGGCGGCGCGGCCAGTATGGAACGATCCTGCGCGATCGGAAGGCTGCCATCGCTCCACACGATGTAAGATACCTGCGCCGAGGTCGTTACGATACTCATCCGCCGTGCATGCCGCTCCACGGCGGGCAAGCTAGGAGGGCGAATGCGCCCATACTGGGCTCAGGATGGTCTTGGCCAGCGTCGGCGTATGCGCACAGCTCCCGTGTTTCTAATCTTGACTGCTTCCTTCGTCTCGAGGCGCTCACGTGAGAATACGGTCAAGAGCTTGCTGGTGTCGGCCATACGGTCATGCGAGAATAGGTTTTTGCTCCGCTGGCTTTTGTCCACCTCGCCTTGGCGCGACACGCTATTGATCACGTCGCGGTCCCCAATCATCGACATACCGAGCTTTTCACAACCTCCCGCCCCGAAAAGCGGAGGGATTCGCGATCCGCTTGCAAGGCATAGCCTGTCGCTGGGGCCGCGGCCACGACGCTCTCAGCAGAAGTTCCAGACCCCATCGTGTTGCTGAGCCTCCCGAGAGGCCTGGCAGCGGCCGGACGCAGCTCGACATATTCTCTAGGACGGGACCTGGGAGGGGTCTGGGCACTGGTCTTGAACGGTTTT